ATCCTCAGCCCCATCAGGAATTCTCCCAAACATCTCCATCCCAGTCAATGGTATCCTATTTTTTTCTGATCAGTGCCCTCATCTTTACTTCAGATACTCTTTGAAGTGGAGCATTAAATTTATGCTGTATTTCAGCCAATCAAATCATGAAGGCCTGTGTTTGGGTTTCTGCAATCTCTATCCTGCTGCTAAAGGAAAAGAGATTCTCTTTCAGGACACACTTAGAAACGTTTAAATTTTTATGTGTGTTGAACTAGAAATTTGAATCTTTGAGCTCTTTATTTTCCTTTATTAATTTGTCCTCACAGAAAACTTTAGGTTTCCTATGGATGTTTTGAGCTCATTGTTTTCCTTCACAAGTTTGTCCAGGGATGTTAAGAACAGCTAACTAGCATCATTATATTTCCCACTCTGCAACAATATTAAAAAAAATTTCATATATGAAGTCACTAAATTCCTTACATCTCACAAGTGGTGAATTAGGATAATCAAAGGGATCTACATAGCATATTACTTTAAACAGTACACAAATACTATCAGTATTCTTCACAGTATCAGAAGGAGAGGCCATGGCATCTTTAGTTCTCATCAAATTAGAGGGCCAAATCCAGGAACCACTAAAGTCAATTAAAATACTTAATCTTTACAATTCTGTGTCTCTACCACTACTCCTGGTACCAAAATCTGTATCAGTCAGTGCTTACTAGAGAAACATTTAGTGCAAGACATACAAATACATAATTTACAAGATTGGCTTACAATGGCTGTCCACAGGGTCAGGTATGGAAAAGTTTGGAAAAGGGCTGTGTGTGCACTGGAGATCCAAAGGGTCCAGTCAAAGGCCTGGAGCTCACTGTAGTGTCCTATGTGAGTCTTTATCAGGAGGGCAAAGAGTCTGTGATGGAGGCTGAGGGGTCTGCAGGACAAGGCTGAAGAGTTTGCACTAGAATCCAAAAAACAACATCCAAGCTGAAGGTGAAGACTGGAGCTCCTCTGAAAAAACAGAAGTGAGCCTTCCATCTTTGTTTCCCTTTTATACTATTCAGGTGGCAAGCCTATTGGTTGCTATTCCTCACACCCAGTAAATCCCAGCAAATTTTCAGTAAATCCCTTCAGCCACACCAGAATTTGCTAATCCAATTTAGTTGGGCATTTCTTACTCAAGTTGACACAACCAGTTAACTATCACACCTGTACAGTGGACCCTCGAGTTATGACTGGCCTTACATATGAACGACTTGGGTTATGACCAGAATTTTAGTTTTAACTTAGAACCAAATCTTGAGTTACAACCCAAATGCTGGTCTTTCCTGTGTGGGGTTAATTGAGAAATCCTGGGCCAGTGTCTCTCTAGGGACAATGAGATCTGCCCGGAAGAAAATGTGGCCTAAGGTTATACAGAAGAGACTATGAAGACTGTGTAGAGGAACCTCAGCCTTCAATTGACCCTGTGGTTGATGACATTGTCACAATAGTAGAGTCCATAGGCTTGCAGGTAGACAGTGGTGATGTTGAGGAACTGGTGGAGGAACACTCAGAGAACTCTCTACAGAGGAACTTCAGCAACTTCTGGCTGAGCAACACAGAATGGCAGCTGAGGAGCTTTCTGAAGAGGAGGGGGAGTATCAACAACCAGTGCAGCAAAATTGTTCTTCTGAAATAAAGATGTTCCTGAAAAAATGGACAGAGCTACAAACATTTGTAGAGAAGACCCACCCAGAGAGAGAAAAAGCCAATCATTTTATTCACTTACTTAATGACAATGTCCTGTCATACTACAGAACGGTGTTAAAGAAAAGACAGAAACAGACAACTGTAGACCAGTTTTCAGTTCTGAAAAGGTTGAGACCTAGTGAGCCAGAAGCAGGTGCTAGTGGGCTACAGACTCTCCCAAGGAGAGAAAGGACACCAGTGAGCCAGATTCCTGATGTTCTTATGGAAAGGGACTCTTCTTTCAAACAATAACCACCTTCCACTTCATCCTCCCTTCCTGCAAGCCAAAGATGTCAACTTAAATGGTGAGTACAGTATGAAATTGTTGTTTCTGGTAAACTAGACACATTTTATAACTTTTTGGTGTATACACGAGGAAAATTATTGGTGTTTCTGGTAAATTATACACATATAACCCTTTTTTATTATGAAAAGGTTAGTTAAGGGGTGCTTTGGGAGGTATGGAATGTATTGTGGGTGTTTTCCTTATTTCTTATGGGAAAAATAGTCTTGACTTACAGGCAACTTGAGTTACAACCAGCCTTCGAATTGTTTGTAAGTCAAGGGTCCACTATTTTCTATACTATCTGTCAAGCAAAATCCAAGTACTACTATGCATGGCCTTAGGTCTGTAAGAGTCAGTTCACCTCCTGGGGGAAGATTTCTTCCAGAGGAGTCTGGAAGACCTTCTTACCTGATCCATGAATCATGTGTATTTTGTGGTCCCATGCCTTACCATTATCTTTTCTGACTGTTCCCCATCATTTCAACATTTTCAACAATCATTCAACATTTTGTGGAATCATTCAGCTTCCCCCCTGCCACCTTTGATACAGGGTTTCACTATGTAGTCCAGGCTTGCCTTGAATTCACTGTGTAGCCAAAGCTAACCTTGAACTCATGGTGATCCTCCTACCTCAGCCTCCTGAGTACTGGAATTACAGGTGTGCACTACCACACCCAGCTTAACTATCTCTCCTCAATAACTGAACCCTTAATTGTTGCACCAGCTCCTCATGTTTGAACCTCTCTGTCAGCTTTGGAGTTGTATGCCTGCCTCATATGAGAGACTAATATGGTATATAAAATTCCTACACTAAATATCCATGGATTGAAGGCAGCCTCATATTCAAAGTTCCATGCCAATGAGTTTAGTCTGTCCAAGGGAACATTTCAATGTGCTCAGAAATTTATCCCAAATCAGAGTTGCTCCCCCAGGTTGTATCCAAATAAACAACCCTGTCATGTTCACAATCTCTCACAGATGATTTGGGCTTAAGTTTTTCAGCCCTTCTGAGACTCACAGAGTTGACTAGGGTTTCTCAGCCTTAGCACTATTAACATTTGAGGTTGGATAATTCTTTGTTTTCTCTATCATTCTATTATTGTCAGACGTTTAACATGATCTCTGGTCTCTGCCTACTAGATGTCAGTAGTGCCTGCCTCCCAGTTTTGCTAACCACAAATGTCTCCAGATTTTGCCAAATGTCTCTCTGGAAATGCAAAATTGCGTTAGTTGAGAATCACTGGTGTAGATGCACCACAATGTGCCGTATTTCAGGGAACCCACAGAAGGGAACCAGACCTCAACAGTACAGTGGTACCTTCTTGAGAGAGATTAGTCCACAGCCTTTGCCCCATGTAGAGTATATGCATACTGGGAAGAACTTGGACTGCAAACTCATACATTCAAATCTTTCCTTTGCATGTTTGAAGCAAGGTTGTCTACTTCTGTGCTTTTCAGTTTTCTTATTTGAAAATGAGGAACCATGTTTTTTATGTTATGCATAACATAGTAAGAACAAAGTAAGACTTTATATATTCAAATCCATACATATACACACGTATTCCTTTCAAATAATAGATACATGCACATGCACTTAATCAGGTTCAAATGTAAGTATACTTAATTCGCTAGTAAGATTAAAGGGACAATATAGAAAACTTTTTTCCATCCATCATTTAGTGTAATAATCTCTGTGGTTTATGGTATTATTCTATGCTAGAAGTCTCAATAGGGAATGCCTAACTTTAAAAAAAAATAAAGGAAAAGAGTGTCTTTCAGCAATTAAAAGCAAACTAAATTAGAATGAAAAGAGGCAGGTTTTTATAGTTGATTCTTCATTTTGCATTCAGTAATCTGACAAGACTGCACAAGAATTTAAATGTCTTGATGGGAGGTAGTGAATTTTAGTTCTCTGGGGGATTTCATTGTAATGAACCTGGTAAATAATTCAGGAACATATTAGAGGCCAATAAATGGGCAGCACCTGGTGCTATATTGTTCATGTCTAAACAAACACAGCCCAAAGATGGCATTCTACATCTGTCACTATTGTTCTGGCTTAAGTATGGACCCTATGTTCAGTGGCTATTGAAATAATAGTAATTAATATTTTTGTTCAGTCCTTCATAATCAAAGAATACTGTTCTAAGCTGTTTCAAAAACACAAAGCAACATTGTCATCCTCTTAAATTTCCTCAATAAAATTTCAAATTGATTTTCTCTGTCAAGGAGTGATTGCTTTAAAGAATTAGGAATATGTCCACCTTTTCTATTGGTACTAATTTGAATCTTTTATTACTTCAGTCTGCAAGGCTGAGCTGCTTTTTTAGTTGTGATATTCATATTCCAAGAATCAATTGAGAGAACATCATCTTCAGCCACTCAATCAATAGAAATCTGTACAGCTTTCCAGTTCCTCTCCCTATTATTACCAGAGTAGCCCATCTCTCCTCTCTGAATCTAAATTTTTTAAAAACCAAGCAAGATCTCTGGGCAGTTCCAGCTGACTGGACACAGAATGTTCTTCTAAGGCCGAGAGGACAGGGCCTAAAGACCATCAGATAGTGTATGTGGAGGCATCCAGGCACTGAGTTCAGTGCCACCCAGGATAAAAGAGCTTAAACTAGGAGCTACATGGAAAGATCTTGGAAAGGCAGGGAATTCCCAAAAGGGGAAACAGAAAAAAGTACCTTAGAAGTCGCAAGTTTTTATGGTGCTTGGCCATAAAAGAAGTCTCAACAGAGAATGTAGAGATATTTACTTAGAAATGTATAGGTGTGTTTTATCTTTGTTTTTAAAGGATTTTTTTTATTATAATGTTTTAAAATATTTATTAAAACATTAAATTTGTAATATATGTATGTATATAATTATGAATAATAGATATAACTACGTAAAATGGAAACAAAATTTTTTAAACCTGTGTGTGTGTGAAAGAGAGAGAGAGAGAGAGAGAGTTTGAAATTGCTTGCTAAAGGGTCTAATTGCTTTCTTCCTTCAGGGTCCAGTGTGAGAGTACTTGGAGCAGTGACTGCCCTCTGGTGGTGAGCCAGAATTGTCGCTTTGTGTCACCTAATGGTTACTAAGATGCCCACCTTGACTAACATGGTACAATGGGCAACAGGGGACCGGGGGACCAGCTGAAGAATGTCTGATGTTAGAGTATGTCTGATGAAGAAGCCTACTGAAATAACCCTTCACTTCTACCTGAATTGGTTGTTTACCCTGGATTCTGAGCCAAGAGCCAGCTCTAAAATGGGATCTCTGAAGGAAAGATTTGAGTTCCTCTTGTGTTTTAGTCGGAGGTCTACATCCCTGCCAGTGGGTAACCAAGACTGTGAATAAGTACCCACCAAGAAAGCATGTGGGGACATGGAGCCTGAAATAAACTGCTCTGAATTTTGCGACAGTTTTCCCGGCCAGGAGCTGGATCAAAGACCCCTTCATGATCTCTGCAAGACAACAATTGTAAGTGAGTAGCCAGGGGCATTAGGACTGCTCACATGTATATGTTGGTGGGGTGATCAGGGGAGGAGGAAGAAGAGGAGGAAGAGGAGGACTTGCCCATGTAAAATATATATTTTCCAGATCCTTGGTACTGGAAAATAAATAAATAAATAAACATTGACCAAGATATATATTTTCCAGCTTTGGTGCTGACCCATGGAAGATCCTTTATTCCTAACAGCTTCTCTTTATTCTGGCTTCAGACCATTTCCCAGGACAGCGGCAAGACCATCTCTTCATTATCTCCTGCCCTCCTGTGTATTGTTTGGACTTTTCTCAGCTGTGGATTACTTTTGATGCTCTTCTTTCTTGCCTTCACAATTCACTGCAGGAAGAACAGGTATGCAGCCCCATGCCCAGATTCTCCTCTCTCATAGCCTGAAGTGTTAGCATCCTTTTGGTGCCACAAGCAGTTAGCCAGTATTAGCAAAGATGGCCTCCCCCTATGGCACTGGGCCATATGAGAGGGTCCTGCTGAAACACTGCTGGCCTTGTCATATGGTTCCCTCTAAAGAAGAGAAAGATATAGCCCAATATTGTGCTAACTGCTCTAAGGCTGTCCAGTGAAGAGAACAAAAAGTCTCTCCCCATAAAGGAGAGTACAGTGCTTCTGAGATGAGATATTTATATGGAAAAGAGAGACTGTTGAAAACATGTCCAAACCAACATAAAAGCTTGTGGACAGCATAATGAAATCAATCTTGAGTGGATTGAGGTTTCCACCAAAACCAGTGAAGCTTTACTGCCTGGCTGTTCTGGAGACAATTCTGGTGAGCTGGAAAGTCACTAGCTTCTAAGGGCAAGTGTCTGGGGTTCCCATGGCAGGCAAAGAAGTAAAGTGGTGACTTGCTTAGAGTCTTGTCTTTGCTGCTCTTTGAGTCTCCCCTTGGGCCCCATCACATCTCTTCAACCCTAAGACTGTACCTTCATCCTGCCCTGTTCCCCACCTGCCTCCTGGGAAGCCATGCTCCAGCCCTCTCTCCCCAGCCCACAACTGACTTCTAGTCGGAGCCCATTCTCAGAATTCATCTACTCCCCTGCGAGACCAGACTCCTCCTGTCCCACTCCAGCCTTCTACCTCCTGGTGATCAAGTGTGTTGGGCTCCGTTGCCTGTGGATTTGGCACTCAGATAAGGATGGGTGAGTTACACTTGTCTAGCAGGCATTTTGGGGTGCTATTTGCCATATTAGATATTGAGAAAAGGGAATTGTTAACCACCAGTGACTTGAATTGCTGGGTCAACCTCAATTTAGCAGTGACATATAGCACTTGACCTAGGCTTCCCTAGCCACTTTTCATTCTATTCCTCAAACAGAGCAAGCTCATCTTCATCTCAAGTCCTTTGTGCCTCCTGTCCCCTTGCTGTTCCCTCTGCCTGGCCATCTTCCCCAGATCTTCCACAACCAGTTCTTTCTCATCTTGTAAGCCTCAGCTCCAGTGTCACCTCCTCAGAAAAGTCTTCTCTGGCCATTCTGTCTAAAGTGGCCTCACTACCCTATTGCCACTCAGCCCCCTGTCTCGCTTCTTACCAAATTTCCCTGTTGTATTCTCTTCATAATGATTATAACTACTTGGCATTACCGAATGTGTTGAATTACTTGTTTTTAACAGTATCCCCAACCTGAATGTAAAGTCTTTGACAATGGGAGCCTGGCTTGTTGTGCTCACCACTGAGCCTCCAGCATTTAGAACAGATCTGGAACACAGTAGGTGCTCAATAAATACATATTCAGTGATCCTAGGAGGAAGGATATCAAAATCCCAGTGGTGACTGTTACCAAGAAAAGAGCTAGGGAGTGGGCTAGGGATTTAGCTCAGTGGTTCCGCCGCCTGCCTTGCAAGTGTAAGGTCCTGAGTTTGATCCCTGCTACCAAAAAAAAAAAAATAGCTAGGGAGAAAAAAAATCATGCATTTTGAGGTTAGAGAAGTATGGAACGGACTTTTCATCTGTAACACATTTCTATGATGCAAATTAATACTCTACTGGAGAATTAAAAAGGATGTCATTGCTTCACATGTAATATTTCCTCGAGCAAGCTGGCAGTTTAAAGCATTCAAAAGCAAACTTTCTCATAGCTAAAAAATGAAATGAGCCAAGAATACAGTACTATAGTAACGCCTTCCTGTAGTGCATGTGGTGGCCCATTTAATGGCTTCACGAATCATGTCTTCCCTAACCATGATGCTGCAGTAGATGAAGAAGCAAAAGAGACACTTGCCTTTTAAAACTTTGATTTTTGAAGACAGCACAGATTCAGAACATGTTTTTAATTTGATGACAGTGTTATCCATTAGAGATAAATGCTGACCTACATTTTGAGATTAAGGTTATAGAAATTAGCTGTGATCCTGGATCCAAATGGTAGTGGATATTCACTGAGCACTAACTAGTGTTTTAATTGGGATAATTATTATTTTATTAGGATTCTTGTTACAAAGTTAAATATGTTTCAAGTGTTATGGACCCAGCATAAATTTCTTCTAAGCCATTATTTTTACACACAATTTTGTAAAATGCAGGCTTATCATTTATATATTCTTTTAAAAGAAACACCAGTAAATAGCATTAAGTAGAAATCTGTACATTCTATGAAAGATTTTCTTGCCTGTTTTGTTTGCAGTGGGAGCATGAGTTGGCATAAAGAATAAAATAATAAGAGACGGCTCTGAATGAAAATATATTGCAACAAAGTAGCCTATAAGGTCAGACAGGAAAGATAAAATAACCCATTTTCAAAAGTGTTTTATTAAATAATAAAATTTGTTCAAATATGCAACATCATAATCAGATACTTCAGTTCTGTGGTCTCTAAAGGTGTGTGTGTGTGTATGCGCATTCACACACATGAATACACATGCACATCCCAGAGAAGGAAAAATATTTTAAGAAAAAAATAGTACAATGATGTTTAAGTTCAGTTGCAGATACTGTATTTTTGATAAAAATTTTACAATGTAGTACACATCCAAAAATCAGTAAATACATAGGAAATTTGAACAACACTATCAACCAATTTGACCTCCTCCGAACAACAGCAGACCATTCTTTTTGAGTATATATGAAATATTTACCAAGAAAGATAATATTCTGAGCCGTAGAAGAAGTTTCATTAAATTTAAAAGGATTCTTCAGGGCCATCCTAGGCTACATAGTGAGTTCAAGGCCAGCCCAAACTACATAGCAAGACTTTGTCTCAAAAAAAAAAAAAAATTAAAAAGATTCAAATCATACAACTCATGTACTTTTTAACACAATAGAATTAAATTAAAAATCAATAATAGAAAGACCTGTGGAAAGTCCTAAAATATTCAGAAACTGAACAGTTTAATTCATGATCAAAGAAATCAAAAGGGAATGTAGAATGTATTTTGGGCAGAATGCAAATGAAAATGCATTAAAATTGAGTACTCACAGGGGAAATTTATAACACTAACCTCCATATTAGGAAAAAAGAAATAAAATCAATGGCCTTTCTTTCCATCATACGAAAAGGCAGGAAAAGAACACATGAACCCTAAAGTAGAAGGATGGAAATGGTGAAGATCAATGAAAATTGATAAAATAGGGAAAAAAAGTAGAATAGAAAACAATCAGTGAAACAAAAAGCTTTATGAAAATTAATAGCATTGATCAACCTCTAACCAAAGAAGCTAGTTACCTAAATAAGGAATGGGAGAGGTGACATCACTATAGATTCCATAAATATTAGAAGACAATAAGGAAATATTATAGGGCTAAGATAGGCAGCCTGTAAAATATTCTCCAATGTTTCTCAGCTCCAGGTAGTCACACTCCTGTGAAATCTCCTTGAATATGACCTGGACTTACTGACTTGCTTATTGATGAGATGTCACTTCTGATATTAGGTCACAGAAAGATTGTATTTCCATCTTGGAGATCTCTTCCCCTGGTTCACTGTGTACTGCCATGTTGTAAGGTTCCTGGTGGAGGACCACATGACAAGAAACTGATGTTTTCAGCCTGTAGCCTGCAAGTTCACTGAATTTACCAGCTAAAAAAGAAAATTATCATCTCAGTAGAAAAAGAATTTGACAATTTCAACAGCAGCTGCAGTACAATCTCAGGGAATAGAAGCTTCCTTAACCTGATAGAGTGTATTTATGAAAAATGTATAGCTAACATCATTTTTAATATTAGAAGATGGAATGCTTTCCCATTAAGATCAGAAAAAAGACAAGATGTCCTTCCTCACTTCTGTTCAGCGTTAGAGGTTTTATTCAGTGCAAGCAAAAGAAATCAAGGGCCGGGGATGTAGCTCAGTGGAACTGCGCTTAGCAAGCACAAGGGCCTGAGTTCAATCCCGGGTACTGCAAAAAAAGAAAAAGAAAAAAAGAAAAAGAAAAAGATATAGGAGGAACCTACTTTTTAAAAGGAAAATCTAAAATTTCTTTACCCTCAGGTGATTATTTATGTAGAAAATCTAAGTTGGATTAATTAATAAAACAAAAGCAAAACAAAAAACTACTAACAAATGAGTGTAACAAGATTGTAAGATACAAGATCAATGTACAAAGCACAACAGTATTTCTATACACTAACAACAGACAATTGAAAAGTGAAATTAAAACAATACCTTGTATAATAGCATCAAAGATATGAAATATTTAGGGATAAATCTAATATGAAATATCTATAAATTGAAAACTATAAAATATTGCTGAGACAATTAAAGAAAACATGATAATGTGTTCATGGAATGCTCAATACTGTTAATATGTTGGGTTCCCCTCCCTTAATTATAGCCTCAATCACAATCACGTTTCCTTCTTTGTGTAAATTGACAAACTGATTCCAAAATTCAAATGATAATGAAGGACCCAAAATAACTAACACAACTTTTGAAGAGAATAAAGTTGGAGGACTAGACTACAAAACTACAGTAATGGTGGTAGTTTTGTATTGGGCAAAGATAGACATATACAACATCAGAAAATAATAGACTGCAGATATAAACCCATGTATGTGTGATCAACTGATTTTTTTTGTTAAATTCTTTTATTGGTACATTTTAGGTATACAACACAATTACATTTCTCATTGGGAATTGTACCTTTACATAATGCATCTTGGTTCTTATTTTTTCC